CAAAGTTCACCTCGGGCCGCTAACGAGAAGAGGAAGCGCTATTTACTTATTTCTGAACCCAATATAACTAGGATGCCACTGGCATCATCAAACTGCTCTTCCAAGAGCATAACTGGACCAAGATACACCAGTTTCCATAACTTCTTTCAATCCTTATCGCTCTTGCCACTGAAACTTCATAGTTCCACATCTCATCCTTATTGGACTTCCAGCTGTACATCTCTTAATATGACTCTTCCCTTGCTTTCTCATTTCTCATAGTCCTTTCTTCATGTTTTGTGAGTGCCCTGATGTTATCTACTTCTTAAATTGAGTGTTTTCCAAAATTCTTACTCAGTTCTTTTTTCTACACACTTTATAGGTGAATGAGTCTGTTTTCATGACTTCAGCTATTGCCTCAACTCTAGCCTTAATCCACACACTTGTTTCCTGACTTTCGCCTTGACTTCTGTTTGCATCCACCTGTGGGACATAGCTGCCTAAATTGTTCTGTGATTCATTAAGTAAAAGTTCAACTGTTTTTTTTGTTTAGTTTTGTTTTGTTTTTCCCTTCAAACCTTTATACTCTCTATGCTTTCCCTGTATCATCATCTACTTAGTTGCCCAAGTTTAGAGACAGTGAAATGAATCCCAACTTCTTTCTTAGGTTTTCACCCATTGCTCTGATATTCAGCTAGCCAATATACCTACCATCCCCTTTTCTCTTTCTCTTGTTTTCTTTTTATTAAGTCTCTATTGTCTTAAGCCCTGGTCCAAGCCTTTGATTCTTACAGTAGATTTTTGGCTATTTACTCTGCTTTCACTCTCTTCTTCCCAACTCTTTTCCTCTTCATACCATTTCCCATGATACTGTTTAAGTTAAAACAGACCTATCAGTCTGTAATTTGGATTTCCCCCCAGTTTTACTAAGATACAATTGACAAATTAAAATTGTTACATATTTATGATACGTGTCATGATATTTTGATACATGTATGCATTGTGAAATGGATTGTTGGAAAAGTCATGACGTTTTTCTATGCAAAAATGCATCATGACTTTTCTGATGACCCAATATAATCTGTATTTTATTTATTTTTTAAAGTTTTTGCCGTGGGGCATGTGTGCTCACCAAAGAGAAAAAGAGACAATGAGAGGGAAAGTAAGAAATCACCCTCCAGGAGCAATGGCCACAATCCTTCTTCCCCCATTCTCTTCCTGGGATCTTGGGCATGCATGCACACACATGTGTCCAGTGAGATTTTCAAGCTATCAGGTCCAAGACTTGAACTGCGGTCAGACGTGTTGGAGTCCAGCAACATAACTGCTGTGCCATCTGCTGCCCCCACAAGCTTTTATTCTTAGTAAGGTGGAGTGGAAGAAATGCACTTTAACCTATACTTTGTTGATACTAGACTATAAAGGGGTAACGGTGGAAGCAGGTAGACCATTTAGAAGGATATTGCAATTATCTAGGTGAAAGCTGATAGTGGTTTAGACCAGTGTTGTAACAAGTGGTAAGAAATGGTTGGACCCTTGATAAATTTTAATGGTGCCATTAGTGTTTTTCTTTTTCTTCTTCTTCTTTTTTTTATTCTTAGAGGGTGCATGCACTTGTCAGAGAGACAGAAAGAGAGGGAGAGGGAGAAAGCATCTCCCAAACAGGGCATGGCCATGCTGCAATCTCTTCTCTACCATTTCTTTATTCATTTGGGATTTTGGGAACATGAGCATTTGCATCCGATGTGTTTTTGTTTTTCAGGCAGCCAGGGCCAGGATTTGAGCTGTGTGATAAGCCATGTGGGATCTCACTGCCTTAACCACACAGAGCTAGAGCTGGCCACACAGAGCCAGCCTGACTGTTAGTATTTTGACATAAGAAGAAAAAAGTAGCAGGGAGGAAGAGATAAAGAGAGACCAGTGGCCAGGAATGGATTAAGGGTGATTCTAAGGTTTTTAGCTAGAATAATGTCAAGTATATGGCTGGATATACTAGTCTGGAGTTGAGAGGACAGAAGTCCAGACCATATACATGTGTGCGCATGTGCACACACATGCACACAAGCAAATCTGTGCACACATGTATATTTGTGTATGTATATGTACATATATACCTGTGTATTTGTAAATATAAACTTGAAAGTTATTAGTGTATAGTAGCGTTGAGTTATGTGACTGAATGAGTTTAGTAAGGGAATGAGTCTAAAGAATGTAAGAGGACGAAGTCCTAGATTCCTTCCATCTTTAAGAGATCTAGGAAAATAGAAGGAAGCAGAAGTGGAAGGCAAGAAGAGCTGTCTATAAGGTAGAATAAAAACCAAGAGCATAGTGTTTTGGAACCTATGTGAAGAAAGTGTTTCAAAAAGAAACATGGTCAGCTGTACTAAAAGGTAGTTCTAAGTCAAGTAGATGAGAGGGGTAAGATGATGGCTGAAAGTGCCAATAATACTTGATCCAGGGAGAATATTAATCTTGATCAATTCTGGTATTATGGTAGTGAAATTCTGGCAGAGTAAGTTTTAGAAAAAATAAGAGGAAAGAAATTGAAGAAAGTCAGCTTAGGTATATGTCTTTGGAGGAATTGTGCTATAAAGGGAGACCAGAAAATATGGTGATAATTAATGTGGTTAGAGTTTTTGTTTGTTTTTAAGATGGGAGGAGTAAGGGACCAGCAGTTGGTGTAATGGCTTTGTCGCTGGACTCCCATGTACTCGACTGTGGTTCGAGTCCCAGACCCGGTGGCTTAAACTCATGCCGGGTGCATGTGCATGCATGCCCAAGATCCTGAGAGGAGAGTGGAGGAGAAGGGATTGCGGCATGGCCATGCCCCCTGGGGGGTTGTTTCTCACTCTCTGTGTCTCTGTCTCTCTCTGTCTTTCTGGCAAGCGCATGTACCCAATAGCAAACGAGGAGAAGACCCAAAATGAAAAAACACTTAAAAAAAAAAAAAAAAACCAACAACAACAACAAAACGATGGGAAGAGTAACACCAGGTTTATGTGTTAATGATAATATTCCCACAGAGAGGTAATAATTACTACGAGACAGGAAGTTTTCGGGGAGGTGGAGAGGCCTAGAGAAGGAAAAACAGAATGGAACACACCACCACTCCTTTTTAATTTTTTTTTTTAAACACCCAGCAGTGTTGGGACCAGCAGTTAGTGTAATGGCTATGTCTCTGGACTCCCATGTGGTTGACCGCAGTTCAAGTCCCGGACCCAGTGGCTTAAAATTCACGCCAGGCACATGTGTGTACGTGCCCAAGATCCTGAGAGGAGAATGGAGGAGAAGGGATTGTGGCGTGGCCATCCCCCCGGGGGGGATTTCTCTCTTTCTGTCTCTCTCTGTCTGCCTGGTGAGCGCATGCGCCCTATAGCAAAAACCTGTCCAAAAAAAATAAAAATAAAAATAACCCAGCAGTATTTGCCCTAGAAAAGAGCTCGATCTGCTTATGTTGATAGGTATGTGTAGTAATGCAAGCTAGGTCATCATCTGAAGTTGAAGACAGAGAAGGGGTGTGGGAGGTTGAAAAGAAGGAGAGATGAAGTAGTCTGGAAAAAGTAAATAAAACTAGATAAATATATAATTATTGCTGGGCCAGTTGGATTTCTTGATGTTGACTTTAATGTGAGACCAGTGAGCATAGCTGTCAATTTCTTCACAGCTATGTTTAGCTCTTCAGGTTTGGCACGAACTGACTAGAAAGTTGGATTTAACCAGGGCTGTAGAAAAACTATTAGCTTTTTCTTAGGTGTTTTTGGCTTTGCCGGCTATCTGTTCTCTCACACGACTCAATTCTACTATTACAGCCCTAAAGGGGCCATAGATAATATTTAATTGAATGGGTATAACTATGTTCCATTAAAACTTTATTTATAAAATTAGGCAGTATGTCACTGCTGGTTTTTGCTGATCCTTGTTTTAGAAAGTGAGGATAATGATAAATTGTGAAATTTAAGCTGGCTATAGAGAGAAGGAAGGAGAACACAAACTGATGAGGAAGAATGAAAAGGGTGGTCGAGTCCAAGGCATGGGATCTCACTCTAAACTGCTGAGCTCTTGTACTCTGACCTCACATCTTGAATTTAGTTTTCTCTCTGCCTGAAGTGCGCCCTTTATATAAACTCAATTGAGATATCATCTCTTTCATTCCTGTACCCTTCCTCTTCAGTGATGGTTGACATTCAGAAAATGTTCAATAAATGCTAAAAGTTAAAATTCTCCACTTCGGTTAGGCAGGTAAGATGATTTTGAAACTGGGAGATTGCAAAAGTTTGTTTATCTAGAGTTTTTTCCACTTGGTAGCAAGTTTTACACTTGAACATAGTGCCTCTTGACTTGGTTTTACCTAACTGGTACTGTTGACGTGAACAGGGTAAGAGTATTAGTACACTGTTCCTCTTTCCTGTTTGCTATTTAATTGTAATTCCATTCTTTTTCTTCACCAATCTTGGCTTGTTGTCTTTATGCTACTGAGAATAGATTTAAACAAATGACCTGTAATAAGCTTGTGAGTATGGTAACTATTAAAGTATTCTCTTTATTTTAATTATAGAAGACAAGCAGTTGTACTAATTATAGACCATCTAGACTAGCCATAGTTCTGTTTTTTGGAGGTTAGAGACATTTTGAAGCCTACTTAGTCCCATCTTTCATATTATAGTTGAAGAAATAAAGTCTGGGAGATTAAGGGATTTGCACATACCAGTTAGCACCAGAGTTAGGGCTAGAAATCCATGTTTCTTAGTTGCCAGTGTAATTCCCTCCCTACTACCCTACCACATGTCCTGATAGAATATGAGGGCATTGGTACTCAGCCTAGAAAATAGGAAATTTTATGATGGCTAATATCCTTTAAAATCACAGTAGCCACAACAATAGTTTAAATGTGATTGGAAATCTTAACAGTGTTGAATAAGATTCTGAGTAAGTAAATATGTAGGGAATTGGCTCTAATTTGAATATTTAAAGACTACTTTCTAATCCATTTTTTTGTTGTTGTTTTTACTAAACTGTTTTAGAAAGATGAAGTCTATCTTAATCTGGTGCTGGACTATGTTCCGGAAACAGTATACAGAGTTGCCAGACACTACAGTCGAGCCAAACAGACGCTCCCTGTGATCTATGTCAAGGTATGTAAAAACAAAGCAGTTTCTTATTTTAGAAAATACTTACTATGGGACATAATGGTAGAGTATGTTTTATCTGTATTATTGCATTAAATACTTAGAATAAAAAAATACAAAGTAGGCTTTTTAGAGTTTTGTTAAATTCTTATATAGTTTTAAAATATAAAGTCTTCCCTTTTTAAACTTCCATGACTCAAGATATTAAACATACTATGGTAAATTGCTGTGATTTTTTTTTTCACAGGCAGTTATGGATTTTAATTCTTGCCAAGTACCTTTTAATTTAATTTCTGATGTCCTCATTGTGCCAAAGACCAAAATAAGAACATACTATATCACGTTATAAAAGTTCAAAATCTGTTCAATGTTTTAGCGTGATTCATAGATGCATTTATTGCATTTGTAGGTGAAGTTCAAACTTTTGTCAGTTATTAATGTGCACAAGGTGTAATTTAAGTTTTTGTATCTAATATTGATGCCACCTTGTTTATTTGACAGAAGTAATGGCAGAGTGGCTAAGGATTTATCTAGTATAGTTCTAATTAAGCTTTTGGCAGATTATTAGAAACCGGTCATTTTGTCAGCTGTGGCATTGTGAAAATTAACTGGAAGTTAAGTTTGGTAATTCAGATATCTAAATATAATTTTGAAAAATTTAACCTTTATAGAAATGAGTCTGTAAAATAAAATGGCATTAACTCTGTTTTTTCTTTTTTCTTTTTTTTTTTTTTTGAGAGGGTTTTGCTATAGGGCGCGTGCGCTCACCAGAGACAGAGAGACAGAAAGTGAGAAATCACCCCCCAGGAGGGATGGCCACGCCACAATCCCTTCTCCTCTATTCTCCTCTCGGGATCATGGGCACGCATGCACATGCGCTCAGCGTGAGTTTAAGCCACCGGGTTCGGGACTCAAACCGCGGTTGACTACGTGGGAGTCCAGCGACATAGCCATTACACTAACTGCTGGTCCCAACTCTGTATTTTTTTAAACAGAGTTCTGAAGATTACACAAGCAGGAACATTAACAGTAGGATTTCTTTCAGAACTTTGGTACCTAGGTCACTTGGCAGGAAATCCAGGATTCCTATTGAATTGCTTGCTAAACATTAGAGTCTGATCTCAGTATAATCTTATTTAGGGCTTATCGAAATTTGGTTGAGCGCTTTTTTTTTTAAAAAAGAAATATTTATTTATTTAATTTTGTTACTATTTTTTTGAATTTGACCAGAGAGAAAGCAAGAAAGAGAAAGTGAGAAAGCAAGCCATCAGATCCAGGACTCGAACCACAATTAACCATGTGGGGGTCTAGTCCATAACCACCATGCAACCTCCCAGCCCCAAGGTCATTGTTAAATTGATGATAGTAGGAACTTTAAGAGAAAACTTTTTTTTAACTATAAATTTTTAGTTCTTTATTCTGATTTTAGAGTAACAGATCCTATTTTAGTTATCTATTTGATAGTATAGTAGTGTATCTCTTTGAACTTCCTCAGTCTAGAGTAATCTTTGAGCTGCTCAAGTTTAGAATAATAATCATCTCAGTCTGCCTAGCCTGTGGCTCTTGTTGTTGCCAGTACAGAGCAGTGGCACATATATCAAGCAGAAGAAAGTCTAGATTTGGTTCCTAGTTTAGACCTGGTTTTGAGATCTACAACTGCTATCTCAGTTACATGCTTTTAGACAAGTCACTGATTCATTCTCTTCTTAGCTTTCATGTTGATGAAATTCTGTTTCTTTCTTTCCTGCCCACAGTATAGCCTTATTGGTCTGTAAGATGAGCTTAATGTAAGAAAATATTTTGGTGCCTGAAAAATGGAAGTTATGGAGGCTCTTATCATTAGATCAAAAAGTGATGTGTTGTGGACATTCATTCAGTAAGGGGTGGTACATAGTGGTTAGATCAGTTTTCTATTCCAATTCTTTTCTTCTTTTTTTGGAGAGGTTTTTTTGTTGTTTGTTTGTTGTTGCTATAGGGCACGTGTGCTCGCCAGACAGAGAGAGACAGAGAGATAGAAAGCAAGAAATCACCCCCCAGAGGGGATGGCCACGCTGCAATCCCTTCTCCTCCATTCTCCTCTCAGGATCTTGGGCATGCACGCACACGTGCCCAGCGTGAGTTTAAGCCACCCGGTCCGGGACTCAAACCACGGTCTACTACGTGGGAGTCCAGTGACATAGCCATTACGCAAACTGCTGGTCCCCCAATTCTTTTCTTTTGAGACATTTTTGGTATAGGGCACTCACCAGAGAGAAAAAGAGACAGAAAACACAACTCACCCCCATGGGGATAGCCACTCCGCAATCCCTTCTCTATTCTCTCAGGAGAATTGAGTATGACTGTATTGCTTAGAACTTTCTTCATACTTTTTGTGTTGATGGTTATTTTGTACTCACTGATAGATGATATGCAAATTTAAAAATTTTTTGAGTGCCTTTGCTTTTCTGATGAGCGTCTTTCAGAACTAAGTGGGTTTGAAAATGCAACTTGAAAACAGATAACCAGCAAACTATTTATGGTTCATTTTTTTTTAACTGAAAAGACATGTTTAATGACAGGGTGTGACTACACAAGAAAGCTAGATATGTATTTGTGCGTCATAACCAAAATTGTTCTTTAATTTTTTAATTTTGCTGTAAGGGTGTGTGTGCTTGCCTGAGAGAGAGAGAGAGAAACTACCCCTCTCCCCCGGGGGGATGGCCATGCCCCAGTCCCTTCTCCATTCTTTCCTCAGGATTTCGGGCACTCATGCACATGCGCCTAGCATGATTTTCAAGCCGCTGGGTTCCAGACTCAAACCACATAATCAGTCATGGGGAATCCAGTTACCTTTGCCCCTCTATGCCATGTACTGGATCTCTAATACTTGCTTTAAATAGATGTTGCAGTACAGAGGAGAGGACATTGGACTTATATTAGGTTTGATAACTTTGTGTTCAAACTGTTCATTGAATCTCAAAATCCTGTCCTATAAAAATGAAGGAAAATGTGTATTTCAGAGCTATTTTAAGTATTGAGAGGACAAATGGAAAGAAATGTACTTGGTTTGGCAATATATGTTAAATAAATCTGTTGTATTTCAAAATGTGTTAATTATATTTAAGGTTCTAAGAATTAATCTTTCTAGTTTTTTGCTTATCAAGGTATTTAATGATTATATTTTATACCTTAATAGAATAAAATGTGGCAAAATAAAGAAATCATAATTGAAAAAGGAACACTTACCCAAGCCACTACATATTGTATGATATTGAACAAGTTGCTTAATCTCTGTGGCTCAGTTACTTTATATTTAAAATGATTGTAATATTTATATTTATTATATAAGATTGTTGTAAGGATTACATGAAACAATATTGGGTTGCCTGGAAAGTCATGATGTATTTTTGCAAAGAAAACTGTGGAAAAATATGTCATGACTTCCCCGACGACCTAATACATATAGAGCGTTTAGAATAGTTCCTGGCATGGAAGTTGTTCTCTTGTTACCATTTTTTCTATCTTTCTTGCATAGTCAGCCTCTCATTTTTCTCATAAACATACTTTTACTAAGTGAAACAAGAAGATATGTTATTGCATATTTCGTTTTTTTATCTTGACTTTAAAAAGATAAAATGAAGAAAACAAAGATAGAATGGGTTTTTCAGGTATAAGAATGCAGTAAAAAGCTATCTTAAAATTAATGTCATTTAAATGCTTGCATTTTACAACAAAAAACAAAATTTTTTTTCATGGATTCTTGCTGACCTAGACATTAATACCCTGACACAGAATTAGTAAGATCTCTCCTTTATAAATTAACACCTGTTAACTCAGTTTTTTTATCTGGTATTACTTTTTTAGTGGTAATTTATTAAACTCTTAAAAGTAAGCTTCAGGATCTTAGTGGTTGATTCTGAGAACAGTGGTATAATCATCAAATTCCTAAGTTTTTTAAAAAAGCTATATGAGCACTTAAAAGTGTTAATTCTAACTTTGGGCAAACTGCTGACCTTATTTAAGATTTCATCTGTACATCTTACGTCATGCTTAGTTTTAAAGAAGGCTTAAACTTTTCCAGTGTTAGTTTGAACTACATTAGTTAGTTTGAAATATGACTGTCTGCAGTTTTCATCGTGCCTCTTTAATGGGAAGTAGGTTTCGAGGTAACTTTAATTAACCTAAGCCTCAGCACTAGCCTCTAAAGGGGTGCCATATTCAGTGCTTCATCTGACCCTTAACTATCTTTTTTGTTGTTGTTTTTTATCAAGGCACTGATGTCTTTGATTTGAATCATGTCAGAAATTCTTTCCATGGTATAACTGGGGTAGAGGTCAGAAGGTGAGTGGATAGAAAAAAGTGAAAGTAAATAGGAACACTGACCTTGGCATAAACAGAAAGTTTAAGGTATACTCACATTCTACATAAGTCCCTCTCTTCTCCATATAGGAGTCTGATTCTTTCCTCCATGCAGACCTAGTTTCTCAGTGTATCCTTTTTTTGTTAATAAAACTGAAGTAAATCTTCTTTTCAGGTGGTGTTAATAGTTAGCTAAGCATCCATTTTTAAGTGGCATCTTAAGGTTTATTTATGTTGGGCGACCACATAGTGGCACAGCTATAAAATGTGTTCTCGAGGCTTAGCCACTTGGGAAGGATCTGTGTTCTTTCTGGAGACCTTGATTATGCGGACATGCACATGCCTATGATGAGATTGGCGAGGCTGGACATGGACTCTGTCAACAAGACCCTGTTGGGGGTCTTGTCTCTCTTCCTTTCTCTCTCTCTAAATAAACTTTTTTTAAAAACGGTTTACTTGTCTGTTGATGGTAATATCTTTAACTGGACTGGTGTGTAGTGTATTTATGCTGGGAAAATTCATTTTACAAACTGTGGTGATGTACAGTGATGGAATGTATAAATTTTTAAAAAAAGTATAGTTATTTTTAAAGCATATTATCAAGAAGAGTGGTGATACTACTAACAGTGTTTCTGATGTCTTGATAAGTCTTTGATTTTGTTAGATTTTCTCCATTTATCTATAAGTTTTCCTAAGCTTCTACCAATAACCTTGGAGCTGCTATCTCAGGAAAATCTGATTATAAAGATTATACTGGAAATACTTATATATCAAGCAGCTTAATGTAATAGAAAGAATAAAGAACCTAAAACTTGAAGATCTGGCCTCTGGTATAATTTTTTCTTAAGGTTTTTTTTTTTTTTTTTTTTTTGTCCTAGGGGATGTGAGAGAGAGAGAGAGCGAGAAGGAGAGTGAGAAATCACCCCTGGGGGGATGGCTTTGCCACAATCCCTTCTCCTCCATTTTCCACCTGGGATCTTGGGCACACATGCACATGTGCTCGGTGTGAGTTTCAAGCCACTGGGTCCGAGACTTGAACCATGGTTGGCCATGTGAAGTCCAGCAACATAACCACTACACCATCTGCTAGTCTAAATGTTAATTATTAGTCACATGATTTGAAATACCTTCTCTGAACTTTTCATCTGTGTTTTAAATAAAAAGCCCATTTTGTATACTTGTGGTGAGATTTTTGTAAAATAAAAAGTTATAAGGCACTTTGTAAATTTTCTTTTTTTAAGTTAGGGCAAATAGTATATATGGCTAGAGATACTTTAGTGAATTCATGTGAAGATAGTAAATATAGAAATGACATTGGACCTGTTAATGACATTTTAGCAATCCTGCACTGGGAATGTTACTTTATTTATAGCTAAGGATCTGATTTGTTTAGGATAGGAAGTATTCAATTAATTTTTGCTATTTATTCCAGTTGTATATGTATCAGCTGTTTCGAAGTTTAGCCTATATCCATTCCTTTGGAATCTGCCATCGGGATATTAAACCACAGAACCTCTTGTTGGATCCTGATACAGCTGTCTTAAAACTCTGTGACTTTGGAAGGTAAGAAAATAGTTTCTTTACTCCCCTTTATTTTCTTCCCTTCAATCCCTACCCCACCCAAATGGTCTTTCATGTATGTATGTATGTGTGTGTGTGTGCACGCATATGTACATATATACATATATGTGTATGTATACACACATGCACACACACATCCTTTTGTAATGGCAGTCAGAACACTGTGGCTCTTACTTAGGGAATGCAAATGAGTACATTTTGCTGTGAAGGGTAGGTTTGGTCATTTCTGTCAGAGTTATAAATGTGTATATTCTCTTTCATCCAACAATTTAACTTCTAGTAATTATTTCTTTGGAAATACACATTTATAACATAGTGTGTATAATTAAGAATTCTTATTATAGCATTGCTTATAAAAGCCTGTTAGTAGGAGAATGAGCTAATAAATTATGGTACATCCATATAAAATATAATACATGCAGCCACAAAAGAGAATGAGGCAGCTCTCTATTAACAGAAAGAGAATGATCTCTAGAAATACTAAATGAATAAAGCAAGATAAAGACTATGTGTGTATGTATTCTACCTTTTACATTTTAGAAACATAATATGTGTGACTATATATATGTTTACAGATACATGTATGTATATTCATGACTTATTTCTGGAGTAGTACATAATAATTCCATAACATTGATGGCCCTGGCAAAGGGACATTTTTGTCAGAGTGTGTTTGCCTTGCCAGAGTCAGAGACACAGAGAGGGAGAAAGCACCACCCATGGGGAATGGTCAGCCTGCAGTCCCCCCTCTCGCATTTCACCCTCTTTCTAGGATTTTGGGCACACACACACACATATGCCAGGTGTGTTTTTCAACCAGACGCTAGATCAGGGACTCAAACCTCATGGTTGGCCATGTGGAATCCAGTCACCTTTTCCACCATGCCACCAGCTTTGTGCTTTTTAAAACCATTCCTTGGTAATATATTGTGAGTTTATATTCAAACTTCATCCTTGCCATTTCTGTACTTTTTAGCATCCTTCATCTCTCTCCTTCAGCCTGTCAACATACATGCAAGCCTGTATTTCCATGTAACTCAGGTAGTTCCCTGCTGCATTCTCTCTGATATAATCCCTAGAGTAATTGCTTATCCTCTTGGTCCCTAAGACATTTCTGCATAACTTGTATTCTCTCCAATTTAACTTTTCCCTGCATTGTCACATTTTTTTATTTTCAACTTAGTTACACAGGTTACATATTTACCAATACTTGAGGTAACTATTTCTGCCTCTATGTAATACTATGTAATACTTTCACATCAATCCACAGTGTAAATTTTTGGCTTAACATAGACTATGTTTTCCACAGTCTGTCTCTTGAGAGAAATTTTTGAAAAATTAAGCAAATCTTCTCGCTCATGGGTTAAATCTCAGAAGTGTGTTCTCTTTCAGACCATCCCATTTTACCATTTCCTAATTGTAGGCACCTATCACAGGATCGAACTTACTTTGTGGACTATAACTTTGTTCTCTGAACTATAAAAATGGGTAGGAGATAATAAATCAAAATTCTTAGGGATGGCTCTATAGCCTAGCAGTTAAGGGAGCTGTAGTTTGAATACCAACCCTGGCAGTTTGAAAAACATTCCAAGTATGTGTGTATCAAATCCTAACAGCACAGAGAAAGGAGGAGGAGTTGCGGTATTATCACACCCCATTGGGTTGTGTTTTCTCTGTCTCTCTCTGAAGAGTGCACATCCCCTCTGGCAATTAAAAAAAAAATCAAAACTCTTATTTGGTACTTGAAACAAAATACTACTAATTATCTGTAGAAAAAACTGCCCAACTCAGGTGAGTTTTATTGTTATGGGGTATCTTCACTACCGTTGAGTACTTTTTGGCATGGCTTATAAAAAGACTACCCAATACAAGCCTGTAGTCTACAAACTTCCAGTATAACCATTTTGTGTTGCCTTGAGTTTTATTACTGTATGATTGGAGTCTATCTTTTAAAAAAAAATGTCATTTTGAAGCTAAGAAGTTCTCTCAGTTATGCTGAAAACTAAGTGTCGTGTCTCAATTTTCATGCAGTCTTAAAGCAGAAGTTAATATTTATTAATTTATCAAATGGCTGTTGTATGTCAGTACTTGGGGAGATTAAAAAATAAACTGCAGAACTGGTGATAAAGGAAAAAGGAGTTAAAGTTAAAGCCATCATTGACTAGAAGTAAATGGAAGAAAATAAAGCCCAGATTTTTGAAATCCTTGTGACTAGTTTCATCTATCTTTACTCTGGTTTTCCTGTACCTTTTTTCTTTTGATTGCCAGAGGGCATGTGTTATTATGAGAGCGAGAGAGCACGCATGTGAAAGCAAAAGCACCCCCTAATGGGGCACGATCATGCCATTTCTCCATCTCATCATGGTTGGATCATACACACATGAACACACACCCATGCTTTTCAAGTCATGGGGTTGGGATCCCATGTAGGATCTGGCTTTATGAACAAGACTTAACCATTTTGCCACAGGCCTGGTGCTTTCTTTTACCTTCACTTCAGAAATATTTTGCCTTTTTTTTGGCACCTTTTTATTGTTTTGGAGAGATTTTTGCTATAGGGTGTGTATACTCACCAGAGAGACAGAGGCAGCGGGAAATCACCCCCTCTCCAGGGGTGGTGACCACACCATAGTCCCTTTTCCTCCCTTCCCTGGGAATCTTGGACATGCATGCACACATGCCTGGTGTGAGTTTTACGTCACCAGGTCCAGGACTCAAACCGTGGTCAACTATGTGGTAGTCCAGCGATGTAACTGTTAGGCCATCTGCTGGTCCTGGCACTTTTTAAAAATTGTTTTGATTTTGTGTCTTGTATTTATTTGCTATATGTCTTTGTTATTACTGTGTTCCAAAGTGGTTAGCTTTTATAGCAGCTCATTTATTTCAGTGTACCTTCAGGTTTTTTTGTTTTGTTTTGTTTTGTTTTTTGTTTTTGAGAGGTTTTTGCCATAGTGTACGTGCTCTCGCCAGAAAGACAGAGAGAGAGACAGAGACAGAAAGCGAGAAGTCACCTCCCAGGAGGGATGGCCACACCACAATCCCTTCTCCTCCATTTTCCTCTTGGGACCTTGGGCATGCACATATATGCACCCGGTGTGAGCTTAAGCCACCAGGTCCGGGACTCAAACTGCGGTCGGCTACATGGGAGTTCAGCGACATAGCCATTAGGCTAACTGCTGGTCCCTCTTCAGGTTACTTGGAGAGACCACCCAAGAGAAATTAATTTTAATCTACTTTAATGTTTAAAATACATGCTACAAAGCATTTCAAGAAAAATCAGAGAACTTGTAATTAAACTTACCACAGTAGAGTTAGAAAGCATAGGCTGTGAATCATTTCTGCCCCAAAGTTAAAAGGTTGTTTTGTTGTCTTTTTGTAATTCATTGAATTATGAATGTTTAGACAGTTAATAAATTGACCAAGATGTGGAAGACTAAAATAGATTGGCTCTGTTAGCCTTCAGATAGTCACTGAGTCATAAGTCAAATTGTTAGACAGTGGCCAATTTCTCACCCTTTTATTTTCAGGTTGATTGGTTGATTAATTGATTGTGGAGAAAGGGAGACCCTGACAGGGTATTGCCAAGCTTCATTTCTTCCCAGGCAGGATTATGACAGGCCTGGCATGTTTAGGTTCACAGGATCCAGTATTGTGCAGTGATGACCTACCATCTGCACTACTGCAGCTAGGCCAGTTTCTCACTTTTAAAAGAAAAATATTGGGTGATGAGTGTTCATTATTATATTATTGGACTTATTGTTTGGGAGCAATACCTCTTTAACTTTTCTGCCCTTCCTTTGTATTTTAGAGGTAGAGATTAGAGAACAAGGATCATAAGAAATTCAACATCTATTCTTTTATGAGTCCTTATCTCTTTTTCCTTAGGTGATATGGACAAATGCTTTCTTTAAAAATTTCTATTCTTTTTTGCAGAGTGATGTTATAAAATTGTAAATGCCTTTTTATTGGCGGTAGTTATGGTTCATACTTTTTTCCCTATGTTATGTAATTGGAATGAGGTGAATCTTAAATAAACATTTGATATTGTGACTAATAGCCATTTAGATTCTTCCAGGCTTTAAATTTAAGGACTTTCTACTCATTTATTTTTATTTAGTGCAAAGCAGCTGGTCCGAGGAGAACCCAACGTTTCGTATATCTGTTCTCGGTACTATAGGGCGCCAGAGTTGATCTTTGGAGCCACTGATTATACCTCTAGTATAGGTAAGTACTGAATCTGAATATAATGTTTATAATTATTCATTGCACCTTTATTTTAGTAATTTTTTTTAGAGGTTTTTGCTATAGGGCACATGTGCTTGCCAGAAAGACAAGAGACAGACAGAGAGACAGAAAGCAAGAAGTCACCCCTCGAGGGGATGGCCACGCTGCAATCCCTTCTCCTCCATTATCCTCTCGGGATCTTGGGCACATACACATACGCGCCCAGATTAAGTTTAAGCCACCGGGTCTGGAACTCAAACAATGGTCAACTACATGGGAGTTCAGTGACATAGCCATTATGCCAACTGCTGGTCCCTATTTTAGTCATTTGATATTACTATCTATCCTTTTCACTTTCATAGAAAAATGAGTGTCCTCTACAATGTGTTTTTCCTTAAAGGTTGAGATGCTAAAGTGTTCAGAGCTTTTGAAATTTAAAATATGCTTGTTTTGCTATTTTTAGGTTTCTTGGATTATTAAAAATTATTATTAAGCTATTTGTTTATGATTGGATAATACATTTGTTTTTAACCTTAAAGTTTCAAAAAATTGTCAGTATACCTTTTCTTTTTTTAGATTTTTGTCATAGGGCATATGTGAGAGACAGTCAGAGGGAAAGCAAGAAATCACTCCCCAGGGAGGATGGCCATGCCATAATCCCTTCTCCTCCACTTCCTGCCTGGAATTTTGGGCATGCATGCATCTGATGTGATTTTCAAGCCACATGTACGGAACTTGAACCACAGTTAGCCGTGTTGGAGTCCAGCACCTTAACCATTATGCCACCTGCTGTTCCCCCTTTTTCATTCTTTTTTAAAAAATCTTCCTGAAATACTTATTTCTGAGTTTGACCATCACTTGGAAAATTTGTTAATTAGATGATACTTCATTGTGTTTTTTTGTGTGTGTGTGTGGTTTTTTTTTTTTTTTTTTTTGGAGAGGTTTTTGCTATAGGGTGCGTGCGCTCACCAGACAGACAGAGAGAGACATAGAGACAGAAAGCGAGAAATCACCTCCCAGAGGGGATGGTCACGCCACAATCCCTTCTCCTCCATTCTCCTCTCGGGATCTTTGGCACACACGCACACACGCCTGGTTTGAGTTTTAAGCCACCAGGTCCGGGACACGAACTGCAGTCGACTACGTGGGAGTCCAGCAACACAGCCATTACGCTAACTGCTGGTTCCCTTCATTGTGGTTTTGATTTGCATTTCTGTTATGATAAGAGTTGTTGAATATTTTTCATATACTTTTTGGCCATTTTTATGTCTTTCTTTGAGAGCTGTCCTTTTAGATCAGTTGACTCTGATAAAAAACAAACAAACAAACAAATAAAAAACAAGTGCTGGGAGGCTGTTGTGAAAACAGAACCTTCCTGCACTGTTGTTGGGAATGTAAATTAGTACAGTCATTATGAAGAATGCTATGAGAGTCCTCAAAAATTTACAGATAGAACTACCAAATGATCCAGTAATCGCATTCCCTAGTATTTACCCAAAGGACAAGAAATTAGTCAGAAAGACACTTGTACATCCATGTTTATTGCATCATCATTTATAATAGCTAACACATGGAATCAACCTATGTGCCCAACAACTGAGACTAGATTTTTTAAAATGTGGCACATATACACAATGGAATACTGCTCAACCATAACACATGAGATCCTATCATTCAATACAAAATGTCAAATCTAGAAGATGTAATACTCAATGAAATAAGCCAGACTGAAAGACAAAGACTGTATGTCCTCGCTCAGTATGTACTGAATCTGCACTCTGTAGCAGAAATTGCAAGATTTGAAGACATAGAAGTAGAGAAGTCAGCTGTAGGTATTGGAGGTGGGGGTGGGGCAGATAGGAAGGGTCAGGAAAAAGCATTTATAGACACAGGAATGCAGGTGGAGAGGGCAAATGGTTGTGAAATGGCATACTATGAATAAAAAAAAAAGGTATTTCCAATATAGTGTTCAAATGTGATGCTCTTTGCTAACAAGGAATATGCTATTAGCCTTGATTTTTTTTTTTTGTTGCATACTGTATGCATGCTTTGAAAATCCATGTTGCGTCTCACAGAAATGTATAATTAAGTGTAAATATGAAATTATAAAGTAGTGGGGGAAAGTGATGGGATGATCATATTGACTTATTTGGTTATTTCAAGTAAGTTTAAATCATTAGTAGTTTGGCCAAACTCATTGACTTTTTTTTTTTTAAAGAAATTTTTGCTATGAGGAACCAGCAGTTAGCGTAATGGTTATGTCGCTGGACTCCCACGTAGTCGACCGTGGTTTGCGTCCTGGACCCGGTGGCTTAAAACTCACGCCGGGCGCTTGTGCGTGCATGCCCAAGATCCTGAGAGGAGAATGGAGGAGAAGGGATCGCAGCGTGACCATCCCCTTTGGGGGGTGATTTCTCACTTTCTGTCTCTATCTCTCTCTCTGTCTGTCTGGCGAGCGCACGCGCCCTATAGCAAAAACCTCTCCAAAAAAAAAGAAAGAAATTTTTGCTATAGAGTGTATGTACTACAGAGAGAGAGTAAGCAAGACACCCCTCCTTCCCCCAGGAGTGATGGCCATGCCACAATCCCTTCTCTTCCATTCTCCTTTCCGAATTTTGGCCATGCATGCACACTCGCCTAGCATGAGTTTTAAGCTTGCTGGGTCCAGGACTTGAACCACGGTTGACTACATGGGCCCCCAGCCATGTAACCATTACGCCATCTCCTGGTCCCAAACCCATTGATTTCATAGAAATCTTCACTGGAGCTGTATAGTAATAGAGGAATTTAATAGGGACAATTAACTTTAATCTTCATTAACCTTCTCTTTTACTCTGTTTTAGCTCACTAGCTAGGAGTAATTAGAGACAGCATGGTCAGCTAGACATGAATAGGATCCTAAGAAACAAAGAACAGACTTAAACTAGCTGTCCAGGTAGAGGTCAGCATTATTTTACTCATATATATTGTTTCTGAAGAGAATACCATGGTCTAAAACCAGAAACTAAGGCACTCAAAAAACAAATTTTTAAAACCCCACATAACAGAAAACGGGGGGAGGCGGGGGGGGTGAGAATTCAGAATAGCTCTTGGCCTTTTGGTACAAGTAGAAATTCTCTAAAATGACCAATACCCCTAAACGAAAATACATTACCATTTTTTTTTGAGAGGTTTTTGCTATAGGGCGCGTGCACTCACCAGACAGACAGAGAGAGACAGAGAGATAGAAAGCAAGAAATCACCCCCCAGTGGGGATGGCCACGCCACAATCCCTTCTCCTCCATTCTCCTCTTGGGATCTTGGGCATGCAAGCACATGCGCCCAGCGTGAGTTTAAGCCACCGGGTCCAGGACTCGAACCGCGGTCGGCTACATGGGAGTCCAGCGACATAGCCATTACACTAACTGCTGGTCCCACCATTTTTATTCTGCCAAAGGGCAAAATACTAAAGCACATTTTTATTTATGCCAAAGGACCACTAATTCTTTTGTACCATCAGTACAAATTTCAACCCAGTAAAAAAGGCATGTTTTTATGAAAATAGTTTTGCTCTCTTAAACTTCTGAAAGTGTCAGAGGACTCTACAGACCATAGTTTGAGCTCTCTTGTACTAAAGGATAAGAATTATAGTAATGGGTATGTAATGCTCTAAGTTTCATCATGGTTTTTTTGTAGCATATACTTGCCAGAGAGAGACAGAGGGAGGAGAAAGTTCCCCTTTGGTGGGACATGGTCATGCTGCAATCTCTTCTCCATCTTGCTAGGATATGGAACATGCCACACACCCAGGATGTTCTCAAGCTACTGGGATGGGATTCAAACTGTAGCCAGTCATATGGTTATCCAGCTCCTTTAACCACCAGGTCACAGGGTTGGCCCTGTAGCATATGTTAATGGACAAGTGAGAAATGGTACAAAGAATATTTTGCTTGGAGTTAACTTGAGTTTGAGTTCCAGGTTTGCTACTAGTTAGGTGAGCTGCAGAGTAGAGACTAGTGATAGTTCTGCCTACATTTTTGAGTGACTGCATTAAATAAATGTAATCAAAAGTACTATAAAAATAATATGATGGTATTCTCTTTGGTATTTGCTAACTTGATTCTCCCCCCAAGACCAGATTTCAGCCCATGACTTTGGGATGACTTTGATTTTCTGTTTTAGTTTATTCAAATATATGATACTGATTATCTGTATTACAAGATACTGGAATGAGTTGTGCCAGGATTACATTAAATAAAGACTGTTCGATTTTTCTAGAAAGATCAAAACCATATCACCTTTCACATTAAGGAATGTTTTTATAAACTGAGACCTTTTGAGCCCAACAAGCCTAGATTTGACCTCCCTCTTAAGGCTCTGTAAGATTTGTAAATAGATTCCCTGCCCCTTCTAAAGAGAGGTATTTGAGGAAAGTTTTTCAGCTAGTAGAGTCAGGCCTGTGATAAACCTCATCAGCTATGATACCACCACTACACAAAGCTGTGAAGAGATTTGGGAGTATACCAATGTAGATTTATTTTTCAGGTGTTTTTGACAGTAATGTTTACAAGAAAAAGTAGCTAGTTCTGACTAGATTATTGTCTGTTTGAGTCTAGCCAGAGCTAAGGCTGATGACTGATTATATTGTCTTACTAAAAAATGGCAGAATGAGAACAAAAGGCTTCTTTAGGACAGGGAACTGTGCATACAGACTCTTGAAGAAGCTGTCATTTTGTGACAGTGAGACAGGTGTTCAAGACAGAAGTATCTTGATTGAGAATTAGTTGTAACTCTGTTACTCCGTGGCATTACCTTAGATAAGTCATTTAACTTTATGATGCCTTAATTTTTTTACTGTAAAGTGGATGTATTAAAATATTAATTGATGGTCTTGAAAGATTCCTTCATTATGAATTAAATAAAATTAAGTAGGAAACAGAGCACTGTTTTGTCCCAAAACACAAGTAGCTAAAATTCAGTGGGCGAAAGTACTTTGGCGGGGGAGGGGTGGTACCTTCTGTTTAGTCGAAGTTTTATCCTCTTTGGAAAATTTCATCCATTTGTCCTATGAAATAATAACACAGGAGATTTGATATCTTCCAGAAAGTGAATGATACATATCTTATTGGTAGTTTGACTTATTTAACATGAACTTAAAAACACTAGTATAGTTGTCTGTTACCTTAATCTTTTGATTATTAATCTTTTGTGGTAACTACTAGAAAATAGTATTCTTTGATGTTTTATCCATCTTTCATATTTGTAGCTGAATCTTGCCTAAGAATGTATTTTCTGTTGTTTTTTATGAAGATGTTATTATTCCCCTGCAGTTTTTACCAACCTTGTCTTCTGAGATGAATTATTCTGCATTATAGTGGGAATAAGTGAGTGCATATTACCTTCCATCTCATTAGCTAGATAAAGGGATATTTTTAAGATCAAAAGAAAGGAATTAAATTAATAAGGAGATAACATCTTTTCCATTAGACTGTAAGAGTTAGTATTATTATTGGCTTTGAGTGAAGTAATGATTTCCTAGCAGGTTTTCATATTTGTATCACTTAGCAATTTCCTAACATATCAAGTAGGACTCTAGATTAATGTTTGTAGGATAGGCATCTTGGTTATTATCGTTTCCAACTGTACAAAACCAACTTGAATTCCTTAAATGAATTCCACAATATTTTTCTAGGTAAGTAAAAAGTAATCATTAGAGCAGGAATTTCCAATCTCTTTCTCTATTTTTTATTTTTAAAATTTATTGAACTTTATTTATTATTGTTATTGTTTTGTTGTTTTAATTTGCTATAGGGATTGTGTGCTCACCAGAAAGAGATCAAGAAAGAGAGAGAAAGCAAGCTGCTGGTCTGGGACTTGAGCTGTCATCAGTTCAAGTGGGAGTCCTTCACCTTAACCACCATGCCACCTGCTGTCCCCCTCTGATCTTTCTTGATAATACATCTCATCACATCAGCACTCTTAAATTACTTGTTGTCTCCATGCTATTCTTCATTCTTCTTCTTCCCTATTGATAGGTGGGAGAGCCCAGTAGTGATTTATGTTTATCTTCCTAAAACTCTTGAGTGTGGGTACATACAAAACCTAGGAACCTCAGAATATCGAAACTGAAAAGCAGCTTTTCCTTTCAGGAAGTGTTAATAATGGGCCTCAACTAAAATAACTCTCTAATTTATCTTCTAATCTATTAATATTGGGTTTTCAGAAAAGTCGTGATGCATTTTTTTTTTATAGAAAAGGATAGAAAAAAATACATCATAGCCTTTCTAACTACCCAATACTTTTGAGAGAGAAAGAGGGTGCTGTAAATAGTTAACTCAGGACGATGGCTACACACTTGCATTGTCTTGGGTAACCCAGGATGTATGCTTTAAATCTTTTTAAAATCAATTAATTGTATTTATTAATTTATTAAAATGTATTAAATTATTTTAAAGGTCTTTTCCTGAGGAATCTCGTTTTCACTTTGACTAAAATGAATTTTTTAAAATTATTTAATTTTTCTCATTATTAGTATTATCTTACAATTTATGAAATAAAATAAATTCCTGCATCTTAGCCATTTCATTGCATTTAAAAATGATGGTATGTATATTTAACCACATTTTTTTTTTAAAGAAATTTTTGCCATAGGGCACATACTCTCACCAGAGAGATACAAAGAGACAGAAAGCGAGAAATCACCCCCTAGAAGGGATGACCACACTGCAATCTCTTCTCCTCCATCTCCTTTTGGGATTTTGGACACATGCACACGCACTTGGTGTGAGTTTTAAGCTGCCAGGTCTAGGATTAGAACCATGGTCAGCTATGTGGGAGTCCAGCAACATAACCATTATGCCATCTGCTGATCCCTAAGCACTCTTTTTTGTCAGTCATCTTATAACATTGAAGTCAGTCATTTAATGTCCTAAAATTTCTCATTGAAATTTGCATTGGCCTAAAATCCCATAACTACAGGAGATTGAACTCGCTACTCATCTATTAGCACTTAGTAATGTGTAGATATTATGCCACTGACTAATTTTTAAGAAAAATTGATAGGGATGCATAAGTTTGGTACTGTAATCTTATTATTTGAAGACTAGAATACTTGATGTTTGATGATAATAATAGAATGTACCCTTTATGGGAATATTCTTACTTGCCTCATTTCCTCATTAGTAAGCTTAATGCTTCAGTTTAAAATGCATTAGGCAAGTTTTAATGACTTTTTTCTCCATTTTGGCTATATAATCTTTTGCTTGCAATATTTATTCTGTGATCAAGTAAAAGTAGGAACCATATCTCAATCCAAGCTATAAAGTATTCATAAGTCTTATTTTCTTTTCTCTTTAGACGTATGGTCTGCAGGATGTGTATTGGCTGAGCTATTACTAGGACAACCAATATTTCCAGGGGACAGTGGTGTGGATCAATTGGTGGAAATAATCAAGGTGAGAATATTGAATCAGTATTTGAACTAGAAGGAATTTTGCTGCTGTAGTAATAACATATCTCTCACACTTGCATGTGTATACACATAAGAAGCTTCAAAAATGGAGAAAGAAATGTAAGGCCTAATTCCCCTGTTAAAGCAGGTATAAGAACCCATCCAGCATTTTTGTTTCTAATTGAGTTACCCTTCTGTTACATGGATACTGGAAAAGCTAGTATTTGTATCTAATGAAAGAAGGAAAGTATTTAAAAGCAGTATTAGGTCATAAACTCACTAAAATACATGTAAACTGAATAAAAGCAGAAGCTATGACCAGTTTTGCTTACCATGTATTATGTGTCCTTACTACTCCACATAGTACATAAATGCTTTAATTTGTTCGATATTTGTTCAAATATTTATAAAATGAAAGCATAAATACCTGTGTGCATGGTCAGAATACTGATAGATGCAGAATTTCAACTTAAGGGTTTAGTATAATTTTATTTCTTGCATCTCTTTTTTTTTTCAAAGAATTATTTATTTAATTTTATTTATTCATTCATTTTATTTTAACTTGACCAGAGAGAGACACAGAGAGAGAAACTGAGAGTAAGCCACCAGGCCTGGGACTCGAACCATGGTTGGCCATTTGGGAGTGTCAAGCACTTTAACCTCCACACCACCTGCTGGTACCCGTGTTTCTTGCATCTCTTAGCATCTTTATTAACAATAGAGTCAAAATAATTCAGAATTAATGTTTTAATTTTAAGAACAGTAGAGTTGAGATTTAAATTGAGTTTTTAAGGTTTTTAATATTTGAGATCTTAAAGGAAGTCCTCACACCTTTTTTAAAAAAATAATCTAGTGTCGGGATCAGCATTAGCGTAATGGTATGTTGCTGGACTCCCATGTAGTCAACCTCGATTCGAGTCCCAGACCCGGTACCTTAAACTTGCGTCGGGCACGTGAGCGTGCGTGTCCAAGATCCCAAGAGGAGAATGGAGAAGGGATTGCAGCATGGCCATCCCTCCTGGGGGTGATTTCTCGCTTTCTGTCTCTCTGTCTCTCTCTGTCTGGTGAGCTCACGCACCCTATAGCAAAAACCTCTCCAAAAAAAAGAAGAAAAAAAAAATCTAGTGTCTATGTTACACCATTAGATTGGTTTACTGTTAAGGTTTCAGTTTGACAATGCCTACTGTCTTTTGGGCTTTATTTGTGATTTCACAAATTTTTCATAAAATTCTGAAGTAGAAAATTATTTTTAGAGGTTATATAGTCTTATCCTCCATTCAGTGGAAGAACCTTTTAGTTTACATTTCTGACAGATGATTTTGCCTTGTTTTCATGAACACTTTTAGCATCAGATTGCTGCTTGGAGATGCACCCCATTCTGTATTTGGCCAGTTGACTAGTTTTTATTATGGTGAGCCATAACTCCTAGTAGCTTTCACCAGTTGGGCACAGAACTGTAATCAAGTTATTTTAAAGTCCTTGTATTTCATTCTGTAAAAATATGTTTTCTTTTCATCATAGGTTATTTCACTAGATGTCAGCATGTGCAAGTGTGGTTGGAAAAACCCAGTGTGTGATCAATAAGTTTCCTTACTATCCTTATAATCTCATGATTTGTAGCTGAGACCAGTATGGTGTTTGTACTCTTTTTTGGTAACCATCCTTTAGTCTCAGATTGATCCTTTGTTAACAAGAACTACATCATTCCTGATTTCTGTACTGTGTTCAGACTTGGGTTTGAGTAGTTTGTCCCCAAAAGCCTTTGTGCTCCCTATTTTACTTTAAATAAAATTTATGCTATAATACAGAGATGAGCAAACTTTTCTGTAAAGAACCAGAGAAAACATTTTAGGCTTTATAAGGACATCATATGGTACTTAAGTAGCACAAGAGAAAATGTATTTCCACAAATTTTTTTTATTGATGAAATTTAAAATATAACAGTATAATTTTTTTTTTTATATAGTGCAAGCTTACAAATCAGAATAGTGGAGTCCTTTCAGGGAATATATTTCTTTTAATGGGGGTTTAAAGTTAGTATTTTCTATTCTCAGATGGATTACAAATCTATACATACTCATTCTTAATTTATACTTTCTACTGAGTGGGCTGTAGTTTCTGACCTCTGCTCCAGGACAACCATGAAGCATTTCTTTTAGCCCCAGGCTTCACTTGATGTGCTTGAGCTTGCCATTTTATACTTTTCTGGCATGTTGCTGTTCTGTTTGTCATGTGTTTTGGTCGTTAAAATTGTATAATTTCTCTATTGATGAGTTATATTTTAGAAGTTTGTGATATTTTGTGAGCCATTCATTTTAATTAATCCATACATGATACAAAGTTGTGTAGGAAGGTAAGTGTACATCTGTGATAAGTACATATCTCATCTATAATATATTTATTAAACTTTAAATGAAGATTTCTTTTTTGCTCCATTTTTTTTCTTTGTAATTTAGTTTTCTACTATACTGGTTTATGCTACTTACATTATAGATTTTGGTAGAAATTGTCAGTTTGTTGATGATAGTTTAAGACTTTATTTCATTAAGGGCTTATTTGCTGCAAATTGGCCCATGATCAGCTTGCAGTAGTAAGGTCAACTCTGAAACAAAGCACTGTTGTCACTTGTGTACTATCTTGTCATCTTGCAATTATACTCGAGGAACATAGTCATCAGATTATTTTAATTCCAAGATCACTATCTATAAGATGTTTGGTTTTGGTGTGAGATAATTGAGTTAGATGTGTTCTCAAGCATCCTTGGGGACTTAGAGATATCCATTTTCTAGGTCCCTTGTACCTTCTGGAACATGACTACCCAGGATACCAGAATTAGTTTACCATCTACTTATTGACCCAGAGTTACAGATTACAAGAAGGGTAATAGACACTGCGTTAAGTGTGAATGTGTGTGTTTATTTAACACAACTTAATAAATATCATAGGAATTTCTTTTGTGTATGTATGATCCAGCTTTATATTTTGTTGGTCTTATTATTGCTAATATCTATGCCTTAAATACTGAATGTATACGAGGTCACATTTGAACAAAAATTAATAACTAATGCCGGTGAAATCTCTAGTTTTCTTGAACTAAGTTGTGAAATGAAAAAGAAGATGGAGGGACCAGCGTTTAGCTTAATGGCTATGTCGCTGGACTCCCATGTAGTCGACCGCGGTTTGAGTTCTAGACCCGGCGCTTAAACTCACGCCGGGCAAGTGTGCGTACGAGCCCAAGATCCTGAGAGGAGAATGAAGGAGAACGGATTGCAATGTGGCCATCCCCCCTGGGGCAGGGGTGATTTCTCACTTTCTGTCTCTCTGTCCTCTGTCTTTTGGGCGACCGCCCATGCCCTATGGCAAAAACCTCTCAAAAAAAAAAAAAAACAGTGTGTATGTTAATTTTCAAAGATAAATGCTCCTAAGACATTTTCTGTTTTAAAGTTTATTTCTTCTGAGAGAGAGACAGGCAGACAGAAAGATATGGGCCTCCCCAGCAGGTAATTCACACCACAGTTGACCCCTAGTTTCAGCCACCCTGAATCATTGGCACATGATACACCCAGTGTTCAGAGGCCCTAGGAAGCAAACCTATGGGTCCAGTTGTGTTACTACTGTGGTACTCACCTGGCACAACATTTATATTTTAAAACAAATATTTTTTATAATTTCTTATTTACATTTAATTGTACATCTTTGTGGGATATAATATGGTTTTTCAAAGCATCCGTGTAGTATGTGATAATCAAATCAAGGATATTACTGTGTCAGTCATCTTAAAAAAGAACATTATGTTGTGTACTTTGTTTTCATTCTGCCTTTTTTAAATAATTGTTTTATTTTACTTTATTTATTTTAATTTGACCAGAGAGGGATGGGAGTGGGGAGTAAAAGCAGGCCGCCAAGTTCGAGCCTCGAACCACCATAGGCCACGTGTGTATGTGGAAGTCCAGCGCCCTTACCACCATCCCACCTGCCAGCCCCATCATTCTGCTTTTTTGTGTGTGGGTTTTTTTTTTTTTAACTGTTATGGTGTACTGCTTTATAATCTATTTTGTTTTTCCTTACAAGCATTCTTATATCATTTCCACCGTCTTTTAAGGAAAGCAGTAAACTCTGACCATAGTTTTGCAAAGTACCGTAGAGGCTTCTCATATTTGCACCTCACCACTATATCCCCTTAAAAGGGAGGGGAGCAGGTCAACTTAAGTAACAGATCACAAGAAAGAATGAATGGAATAGAGCATGTGTACATACGGAGGCCCTTCTGTACTAGTTCACCCTCCCCAGGCTGAATAAACTACACAAATGACATGATGGCTTGCTGCTCTTTTCTTCACTTAAGTTTCTAGTAAGGTTTTAAGACTTGCATTGCTTCTGCCAATAGCTTTTTGCTCCTCCACTTTTGGAATTTGGAAGCAAATTCTGATTAGGAAACATTGCACCGTAAGGAAGAGGCTGCTTACTCAAAATTGCCATCATACACAAGAGGAGAGGTAGAAATTGGATAACATCTGTGTGCGTTGAGTTTATTACTCAACAGAGTCCGTCCTCTTGAGGTGAAAATAAATAATAGTGATTTCACCGTCATTAGAAGGCTGATATTTTCAAATAGAACACATGTTTTCTGATTTTCTAGTTAGAGGAATTTGTCAAGCTTAGGCAGCCAACCTAACATATTTCAGGTTGAATATGCAGGTCTTTTATGCAGAAAAGAAATTAATACGTTTAGTTATTCAACTATGCATACAGTAGTTATGTATATTTTATTTTCTTCGCTTATTTTTAAAGAGCTCTTACTGAATTGATCATATATAGATGTAGCTATACATTCTCTTTAGTCTTTAAGGTACATACCACCCTAATTGCATATGTTCATTTAGTGAACAGTTTTGCTAGATACTGAGCTAGAAAAATTGAAGTTCTTGCCCTAAAAGAGTTCAGCGATGGAGGGGAGAAAGAGAGCTACTGAGGACAGTAGAGCAAAGCAGGTATTAACCCAGA